TGTCATATACTGTATTTGCACATGTCAATTAAAACGACAGAGTTACACCCTTGTGTTAAGCCAGATCGTAAGTCTGCACAGGCAAACATACACACACATATAAATAAATAGAGGAATTATTTGCGGGATTAAAAGAAGCCCTTTCTTCGCAAGAATGGTAGTGATTTTAACTTCATAGCATAGCTAAATAATTGAGGGGGGGGGAGTGCAGTTTAGAAGCGTCTGACTCAGCTTCGTGTTGTAAATCTAGTTTTACCACTGCCTTTCTGTGTGATCCTGAGTGGAGTTCCCAGCTTCCCTCAACCATAGTGGCTTTTGCTTAAAAAGAGGCATAATAATAACTGCTCAGTCCCTGGCTGAGAGTGGAGAGGGAAAGTTCACACTGAACAGCACTTGTAGAGGTGCTCTGGGTGAGTATCTGGTGAAGGGCACTACAGCATGATAATAATTGTATTGTCAATATGCTGTCAGGAAAGATGGTTCACAGTGACCTTCTAAGGAGATTTTTTGTGACTAATTTTTGTAATGTGTGGGGTTAATGGAAGTTCACTGCTCTAGACATCAAGGAATGGATAATTTGAATTAGTCAGTGGTAACCTGTATTAAAGTTAGAAGCTGCGTAATGCAGACCAATGAAGTCCTCACAGAATGCACAGGGAGAACATAACTAATTTGTGCTCAAGTACAACATATATTGAAAATACGACTTCTCCCCGTGTAGGTACGTTTGGGTTCTGGGGATGTTGGAGAGGAGTGTCTATATTAAACATCTGGTCTGCTTTAGAGTACTTTGATCAGCATCTGCCTGTGATTGAGTTCTCAGGCTGGCCAGAAAAGCAGCTGAGGTTGAGAGACAAGAAAGAGGTTAGCTGCTTTTGTATAATTATATGTTCTACTCGAACAGGTAGGAAGGTGCCTTTCCATTCAGCAGTCTTCGAAAGATAAAGGTTTTGTGACAGTGCATCACTTGGACAGAATACGAAGGCTTGCAGATAAAGTAGGATTTCAGGCTGCAGGGATTATCAGTGCTGCAGGCTGAGATTTATCAGCTATGCAGCCCTGGTTCCTATTTGCCTTTGCTAAAATCCTTTTGAAGGGTGACAGTATTCGCAAACATTAGAACTGCAAGCAGGCAAAGTCCAGAAGTCAGGATTTCTTATGATGGGAGAAACGGAACAGAGAACTTGCAAGGATTACAGTGGAAACCATGTCATGGTGAATAAGGAGTCAGGCTTCAGTCTCGGGGAGAACTGGAATCCAGCCAAGTTTAAATTAGATGTTAGATTTTTTTTCTTTTTAAACTTGATCCTGGATTTCCTTCTGTCACCTCATATCCTTTTACGGTCAGTAGCACTGTACCCATGAATATTTATTAGATTTAGACATATTTTGCAAGTCACCTTCACAACAACTTCTTTTCTTTTCCTGGAAAAACTGGTTGGTTAAGCAGAGACTGAATTTGCAATGCTAATCTTTGGCGTTTATTAACCCTTATTAGTCTGGTTGCTCAACAGGCAGATAAGTTTTGAGGCTTATTTGCAATTTAATTTCCTTCTCTATATTAATCACAGTCCGTAGTTGTGTTTAGATTTCATAATCTGGATTCCTTCACACATGAAAATGACCTGCATATTCAGCGTCCTGGGAGAAAAACAGTAGTCCTGCTGTCCGAGAGAGGGCAAGAATAAATTTTTTAGTACTATACTCCTTCCTTCCAGCGAGCCACAGGTGTGAGAAGAGGAGCAGGTTTATATATCTGCAAATATTTTCTTTGCCTTAAGCTCACAGTGAAGCTAATTAGAAGAGTAGAAAAGGCAGATACTATTTTTCCTCCCCAGACTAAGATGCTCCTCTGAACCTGAGCTAGAAGCAGTCTATTTGCTTGTGGTATTTCCAGACCTGCTGAAGGCCTAGAAAGCGCAGCCACTGAAACACACACAGTTGCTTATTGAGGTTGGTGCACCGGGAGACGAGCGGTTGGAATAAACACAGCTGTGTTTTTTTCCATTACAGTGTTCTCATTTACTGGGTCAGTCAGCCACATACCTCGTCTGTGCAAAGTTACGGGGTAAATACAGGTCCTTAGGGAATCGCTAGGACTATAGGATCTACTCATGAACTTCATCTTGGATAGAGTTCTCCAGTGTTTAAATCAAATAAAGCTGTGGTTATACCTGTTACAGCGAATGGTTAGAGCTTATTAATAGTGAGGAAAACAACCTGCTGTGAAATGTACAGTCAACCTTTGTAATCAACTGTGCTTTCAAATGCCTAATTGCTTCCAGCTCTGCCATGACAGTCTTCGAGCCGTGCACCCCGAGTTCAGGTTTCAGATAAATCCAAGTGAGGTCCCTGTGGGACTATGTGGACTATTCCTTTTGAGGAGAAGGAACTTTATTGTCATGGCTGTAACTGAGAAGCTCCCGAACAGATCTCGTTTGGGTTCCCATGTAAATGTCAACTCTGAGCAAACCCACAGCCACAAAATACTACAGTTCAGGGTTTCAGAGGGAACAGTGGCCTTGTTTCCAGGAGAATAGCCTGAAAAACAGAGGCTGCCCACAGGCCACGAGGCCCAAGGGATGGGGCAGCTCCAGGAGTCAGCTCGTATTCCAGCACTGGAGCAATTCCCACTGCTGCACTGGGTTAAGCTCATCTTCACTGCCAGGCTTAGGTTGGCTAACGGGCACCTCTGACCCCGGTTTTCACTTCAAAAAAGAAGGCACAGTCGGAATGGTTTTGAAAAGCAGGATTTTCTGTACGGTCACAGGGTTTGTACTGGGCCAGCAGAAATGTCTGCATGAGATGAATGCTGCTGGATCCCTGGGGGTGTGTGGAGCTCCCACCAGGCTTCCAGGCCATAAGAAAACCCTCACGGCTTTAGCATACAGCCAGAGCCACTTGTCACACACCAACAGCACAATGGAAGGACTTGTTCAAGCCACGAGACACAAGGCTCAGTGGAAAAGTAGCCTTGAGTTATCCGGATGCAAGAGAGAGAATTCAGCACCTGTGGCAATGAACAAAGTCAGGCCCTGTTATCAGCTTGGACTGGTGCCACCAGCAGAGACAATCTGCCCTTTCCAATAGGCTTGGGAAGCGGGGCTCCCTTCCTGAAATTCACTGTAGTCTTTGCAAGAAAACTAATCCGATTGTATCCTCCAGTTCCCCTTGTTGCAGCACTGCCTGGGAGGGGGATACACAGAGTACGATCAAATTCTCTTTTCTGGCATCTCTTGTGCTAAGGCGCGTTGTCCTACCAGCACTTCCCAGGGTGAGTCGGCTTCCTTAGTTCCCAGGTAACCCAATCTTCCCCCCCCCCATTTTTCAATTAAGCAGAAATTAATTCCACTTCTACGAACTGCTGGCCACATTCTGCTCGCGGGTACTGATAAAAATGCAGAATTAATCACTTGCTCGCCGGCGCTGGGTGGAACCCCCAGTGCAGTGCTGATTTCAGGAGTGATTTAGGTGCGCCTGCAGTGCACGACAGAGGTTTCCTAAGTGGAGGGAGATAAGACAAAAAAATCTCATTCTTCCGAGGCACAGATTTTTATCGTATCACAAAAGCAAGCAGCTGAAAAAGATTCCAGTCGGGAAGCACGGTGCTTTGAGAACGGGTTAGTCTGCCTGTCCTTTCCTGCCAGACTACCAGATGGGATCCCGGATGAAAACAAGTTCTTCAACAGGTTACACCTACTGCTGTGGCTCACAGCCATTATCAGATGCTGGTCTCTTACATACCTAATTCTCCGTAGGTTCTTCTTGTCTCTCCCTGCAAGGGAGCCTGGACACGTGCAGCTGCATTCAGCCGTCACCTCTGATGAACGTTACCTTGAAAACCACGAAGGCAAAGAAACACCCCCACTAGATTGGCTCGACGTTGAGTGGCAGAGGTAGTATTTTATTTTTTGAGCATCCCTCCTCAAGGACACTAAAGAGTTTGTAAAACATCACTAAACAAAAACAAAACATCGTCAACAACAAAATTGCAAAACTGCCAAAAAGTAAAATACAGCAGCATTCAAATATCGGAAAACATGAGAGCTAAAGTGCTTGAGATAATTTCTTAACTACGCACAGTCTGAAGTCAATCTTCCCCGTATAAACGCGATTTTTTCAACAGCACCTGCCTGGACGCTTAGGTTTCTTCACCAGTCTATGGCAGGATAACACTACTAAACCAGAGCCGTTACCCAAAAGGCCTAGGAGCAACAAATTTCTTTCTATCCCTCATACTAAAAATAAGTTAATAAATAATAATCAAAGAAACACATTTTAAAGTTCAGGCAGCTGAAGTCAGACTTCAAGGAAAGTGACCGTACGGATTTCCCACGCTGTGAAGTCGCTAGCATGGCCTGAAGCTGAACAAAGCTTTGGTGGGATTTATAAAGTGCTGTCTTTTAGTATTTTATGCCTGTCTTTAGTAGTGTTTTTTTTCAAACCAGCACCGGGGTTGTGAGTTAAAAAAATTCTGAAATTAACAGACCAATTTTCAGTGGATGCTGGAGTCAGACAGACATTGCACAGTGCACATAAAGATATTAAAAAAAACCCGCAAACCCAAACCAAAAAACCCCCAAACCAAACCCAACTATGGTAAAACTTTTCGTCCTTTAAAACACCCACCAAGCACCAAGAGCAAATCTGAAGGCAACGTCTGCCTCCCGGTCCCCTGGCTCCTTCCAGCAAGGATGGCTACCACACGGTGCAAGCTCAGCAGCAATGGTTGTGAGCCTGAGCCCGCAGGCCCTCAGTCCAAACCCCTCCCGGCGTTCAGCCCTCTGGGAGCGATCCAGTTTTCACCGAAGCCAACGGGATCTCCCCCGAGACTTCAGCAGACTTTGGATCAGCCCCATAGATTGACAGCAGGAGCAGGACCTTGTTTTACAGTCATCGCTTTTCTATCCAGCCAAAAAAGCCACCCTCTGAAATTCCTGAAGGGGTTTTCAATCTTCCCCTCCATGCATGCATTTAACATCCATTACGGTTAATAGCAGTTACACATGCATATCAACGGGAGAAAAGTCCCATCGAGAGGAATTAACTGGTAGTAAGAAAAGAAACCCAGCAGAAACGCTGGGAATTGCTAAAGACCCAACTCCCTCGAATAAATCCGTTTCCCCCTTTAACCAGCCGGCATCAGGAAGCTCTATAGTGCTTTTTTGTGTGTGATCGTCCTGCGCCACGGCCGGCAGGGAATGGTCTATCCTGAACTCTTCCTCCAGCCCGCCGGGCGCCTTCGCCGAATCCCCCCGGGCTGCGGGTTGGCGACTGTCCGCGCCACCCCCCTCCAGCACCAGGATCTGTCTCTGCACCAGCTTGGAATAAAGGCCTCCTTCTTCCATCAGCTCCTTGTGCGAGCCCTGCTGCACCACGCGGCCCTTGTCCAGCACAATGATGTTGTGTGCCTTCTCGACAGTGCTCAGCCTGTGAGCTATGACAAGCACCGTGTGGTTCTGCAAGTCGCCGTAGATCGCCTGCTGAATCTGCGTGGGAGGAAAAGACATTAGTGCTTGAGCATCACCGGCTCCGCTCGGGAAGGGAGAAGAGCAGCTTCGCGGTCTGTGTTAAGAAACCTCTGGATGGGAGGTTTGCTCTCCTCTGGCTACACAGAGGACACAAGATGCCCTGCAGCACTGCCAGCTCCAGCACGTCCATCCCAGCTCCCGGCTCTCCCTGTGCCGCCCCAGAGGCTGTCTCAGTCCAGCCAGCCCGCAGGAGCGGTGTGCACGCAGGTCTGATCCTGCAAGCTGGGTTCTCGTTAGAGCCAGAGCCCAGATTTGGAGGCCACGTGCTGTTGGCATGGACTGCAGGAAGCCAATAGCTGGTAAATGCAGCTGCTCAGAAGAGCAGAGCTCTTTCCTGGGTATATCAAGGCAAAGCAAGAAAGAATTGTCTTCTAGCCAAGAGACAGACAACGGCACTAAGACCTAGAGGCAGGCACATGGCCATCAGGCCACACATCACCTTGACACCTCGGGCTAGCCAAAACCAGCCTTGGGCTGGTATCAGATGCCATGGACGTGGCTGAGGACCTCCAAGCTCAGATGCTCGCGCTGCCCCACACCGTGGGCCAGCAGCCCTTATCCTCTGGGACCTGGAGGTACGTTCTCACACCTCAACCTTGAACTAGCCTTTCCTCATGTCATTAAACCAGTGAGGCCAAACTGCTGCTGGTAGAGCTGTTTGGTCGTCACATCCCAGCCGGATAAACCAGCTCAGTTGACAGAAAACTCGGGGCCTTTCCTGCAAGCATGGCTTTCTTGGTGCCTTAGCTGGGATTTTGGCTCAGGCAGTCCTACTCTCCTGCTGCAGTACTGACTTTTAAGGTCTTCCTCCGTATCCCATCCTAAAAGGCTGCACAGAGTTGCCGTATGCCAATAAACACTTTCCACATTTCAAAAAATCGGCAGAGATCCCTATCTCGTCAGGTTCATCAGGCGCTGACTGCTGGGAGCACAGGACTGTTCCCTTCTCAGTGGCTACAGCAGTGTTGGAAGCAAACTCCTGCTTAGGAATTAGCATCTTACCCAGACCTCTGATTGCACCAGGTCAAGACTAAGCTTGTCCACAGGCTGGAAACTGAAGCTACAGTCTGTTCTCCAGACCCAAATTGCCTCTTTGGCCCGAGGCACCTACTCACCGCGTGCTCGCTCTCCGCATCCAGCGCGCTCGTGGCTTCATCCAGGATGAGGATGGGGGGGGCTCGGATCAAGGCCCTGGCAATTGCCACTCTCTGTTTCTGGCCACCTGACAACTGGGCTCCTTTCTCACCTGCCTCTGTTGGGTCAAGGGAGAGAGGAAGGGGTCAAAATAAAAATCAAGAGCTGCCATCAAGCTCAGCTCCCAGCCAGCAGCATCAGGATGGTGTCAGGCTTTGAAGCAAAGACCAGATAAACGCTTCTGCTCACTTGGCAGAGCAATGTAAACGAGTTAAACATCCCTGAGGCTGCAGTCCTTCCCTCCAGCAGCAAGTTCTTTACTGTTGTCCCAGGGTTTGAGGGGCTGATGCTCATGGAAACAGCGCAGGGAAGTCCCTGAGCCTGGGAGATCATCCAAACCCCAAGACCCCCTGCCCATGCAGCTGCGTCGCTCCCATCTCTCCCTGCAAGTCGGGCTCGGGAGGGTGTGCAGCCGAGGCAGCAGCGAGGGGAAACCGGGACCTCTCTGCTGGCTCCCATAAACACATCAGCAGTCTGATCTGCATCCTCACAAAGTCCCACTGTCACAAACACATCAGCTTTTACTGCTGTGGCTTTGTCACAGGTTCACTGTCTCCCTGTGCAGGTGGGGTGGTACACGGCTCACGGGGTTCTGGGCTCTTCTGATCACTGGACTGCCAAGTGGCGAGACTGCCAGTGCCACATCTCCGTCACGCTGCCAGGCACCGGGAGCTGGACCAGAAATCCTGCGACAGCTCAGTCACCCCAAAAGGCAGCCAGGGTGCTGCCCTCTCCCCATAACTGCAACTGCAGTGCCTCCGAGCTGCCGCGGACTCGTGCCCGTCACCACCTGGCTGACTTTTCACCTGAGGGAAGAGTCTCTGCCTTCCCTAGGCAATGCTTCCGAGTGCAAGCGGAGGGATTTTGGTACCTGTGTGGTAGCCGTCTTGTAACTCCGTGATGAAGGCGTGCGCGTTGGCCTTCTGGGCAGCCTGAACAACCGACTCAAAGGAAGCTGAGGTTAAGCCGTAAGAAATATTATCCGCAATAGAGCGGGCGAACAGCACCGGCTCTTGGCTCACCAGGGAGATCTGCAGAAGGAAAGGGAAGAAGAAGAGGCGGTTGGGAGCCGAAGATGCACTGGCCAGCATCTCGGATCATCGGCATTTGTTCCTGCTGGGTAAGGATTCAAGCAGGCAGAGCCCCACCAGCAAACCAAGGCAAAGAAATGCTTCGAGTGAGCTTCCAGCGAGGATGCCAACAACAGCGGCAGCCCCAACCCAGTTTGCATCATCTGCTGTGCAGCCATTTCAAAGGAAAGAAAACCGATGCAGCGCTGGTACATTGGCATCTGGGATGGACTTCCCCCTCCAAGACCTCGCTGTGTTTTTGCTCCAGACCTGTCACTCCTATCGCTGTTTGCTCTTCCCAGTATGGGAAACCAGTTGCTGGGACAAGGCAGGCTGGATGGGCCCCCCCCCGGGGTCTTGCTGATTTTTCATTCAAGACCAGTAATCATGCTTGGGCCACGTGAATGAGCCCTCCTGCGTCGTTTAATCCAAAATTAGCAAGTTAGGGACATAGCTGCTGCAATTCCTTAATTGCTTAGCAACAGCCTCCCTGTCCTACCTTACAGCCGTTGTTGCTCACTCTCAAATTCAGCCTGTTTGTCAAACACTCAATATTAGAAATAAATTGAACCCTCCAAACTATTGCTCAGAACCGGGCATGAAGAGATCCAGCGGGACACGGTCATATTTTAATTGACTTCTCCCCATGCTCCTAATGTCACTAACACCACACCAGGCTTACTAAACTGAAAGGCTTGCTTGTCTTTTAATTTTCGCTCAGTACAGGCAGGGAATGTAAATTAGTCACACTGACTTTGGCTTTCCAGCCTGT